TAGAGATAGAAAATTATTATGGCCTGGAGAGAATAAGGCACCTGGGTGTAATCAGAGGGTCTAGCCGGCTCAATATACTAAGAGGAAAGGCAAGATGGACATATAACCAGATTGTGACTGGTACCATCAGTACTGGAACTCTGTGCTGGCTGCTGAAGATGAGGACAGAGCATGCATGGGCATGCCCAGAGTGCTGTGATGTCAACTCTTAACTAAACTCATTCAGCATACATACTTCATACCTTCGTGGCTCTTGGATGTATACCAAACAGTATGCATCCTAAACATATTGTTCCATACAAAATAAAAGGAGAAAGATTTTGTTCCCATGAAAATAAAATCCTACTGTTACTGACATATTATACGCTAATTTGGTTGTATCAAATAATTTATTTGCTGCCTAATACTAAAATACAAAAGCAATCATGAAATAAATGAAATGTAAATTTTACTTGACCTTGCTGAGAAGAGCTGAGTGCCTACTAGAATGGTACTGAGAAGGGAGGAGTGCCTACTAGAATGGTACTGAGAAGGGAGGAGTGCCTACTAGAATGGTACTGAGAAGGGAGGAGTGCCTACTAGAATGGTACTGAGAAGGGAGGAGTGCCTACTAGAATGGTACTGAGAAGGGAGGTGTGCCTACTAGAATGGTACTGAGAAGGGAGGAGTGCCTACTAGAATGGTACTGAGAAGGGAGGAGTGCCTACTAGAATGGTACTGAGAAGGGAGGAGTGCCTACTAGAATGGTACTGAGAAGGGAGGAGTGCCTACTAGAATGGTACTGAGAAGGGAGGAGTGCCTACTAGAATGGTACTGAGAAGGGAGGAGTGCCTACTAAAATGGTACTGAGAAGAGCTGAGTGCCTACTAGAATGGTACTGAGAAGGGAGGAGGATATGTTTTTGTTTAGAAAGAGATTATATATATATATATATCTTTATAAATATATATACATATACAGAGAGAGAGAGAGAGGTAAACAAAGACAGCACATGGCGTCGTGAATAATTCTGACCCATACAAGTTCTAGCACACCAGCCTATTCCAAACAAAGGTCGTTTACCGAGCAAAAGGTTTCATATGTCAACAGGACATATGCCAACTAAAACATATACAAAAGCGAATGTACACTGAGGTACTATTGTATCTTCCTTGACTAAGTTTTCATAATACAATGTATTTAGATTTTTACATTTCTGTTTCCACATCTCAGGATACTCAGATGTGTGGTTAAGCATATGTTTTGTTGATGACTCCATTTCATTAACAATTATCAGTTTCAGGTCAATGTCTCTTTCCCATGGCATGTGCAGGGAATTTAAACCAATAGTGCTTTTTGCAATGATACCCATAACTCCTGCCTGTCTTAACAATTTAAATAGTGAAGTATGAACATCAGGAATCTACAACCTATTTCAATTCGTCTTGACTGGAATGTTTCATTGTTTGCCCTGCTAGTTTACCAACATAGCTGGTGTGTTTGATGGGAAAATGGTGAAGAACATCAAAGTCAGACGCCCACTATCTGCATGATGACCGGACTGCAAGTGCAGCAGTCTGAATACACAGAAACATATATGCAGAGTTGCAAACCATATGTGTTCCCTGTCAATCAGCTTTCCACAAAACAACACATTTATTGTAATTTTAATATTTCTAAATGCAGGAATCTGAGCCAATGAGCTGGAATTTTGGCTACAAAAGGGACAGTAGTAGAACACTCAAACTGAATAAGACGATCGTTCAGAAAACCATCTGTGAAAGAATATGGATGGAAATAACATGTGTAAGGATGTGTGTGTGAATGTTGCACAAAGTGTGGTTCCAGTAAGAAAGGGTGTATGAGAGGGAGAGAACCATGTGTACAAAGTGTGGATCCAGTAAGAAAGGGTGTATGAAGGAGAGAGAACCATGTGTGTACAACCAGTATTCTACAGAAACAGTCAGCATCTACATCTTAAGATACTGCTGCAAAGAAATGGAGCATCTTTAGGTATGCTTTGCCGTCGTTTCTTAAATCAGTAATCAATCATATCTAACAAACAGCATCAAAAAACATCTTTTTTGCAGATTCTTTCAAAAAAAAAAAAAAAAAAAAAACATGATCAATTTAAATACTTCATGTAACTCATTCATGCAACTGTTTTAGTTCCTTCAAAATGGCAGCTCTTTAAAAATTTTTTTTATCTGTCTCTCAACAGATAACTGAATCAGAAATAAATTAACATCATAATAGCAAAGCTGAGATTTGTGAAGGCTTATAATATTGAATAATAATTTATTAAGTATACAAAAATAGTATCTAATAGGCAAAGTAAAGGAATTTAGTATGGTTTCACATAGTACAAGGTCTATCGCTTAAATAAAGTTTGTTGACAATATTAATACTTGGAGACAACTTTTAATTTGCATTTTGTCAAGAGGTAAGTGTGCACAGCGAGCTATGGGGAACCATGAAGGACCTGCTGCTGACATGTGAGTTCATAGAGGGAACTAGTCTGATCTAAGCATACAAAACTAAATCAAAGGAGAAGAAGATTTTGTGTAATGTTATGTACATTTATTCTATTTCTGTCAATTTCTTATTACACATGAAAGGCTCCCCTATCACTACAAGTGTTGTTTTAACGACAGTTATTTCAAGACTGGAAGGTGACAAGTAAAACCAGTTAAAGAACATATCTATAACACACAGGACATGTGAGTGGCAACACTTCTTCATTATTAGCAGACTGTTACAGTTATGAAAGACAATACCATAAATGCTAACTGGTGAACAGCTAAATGCACCACAGCTGGCATGACTGTCAGGGGTATGAATAAGTTTACAGGAAACACATTCACTTGCTATAATTTACTGGGAGTTACACAATGCAAATGTTAAAGTAATCAAAGCTGAATGGTGAGTGTCAAACTTACATCCTTTGTTAAACATTCTTTCACTTTATTTGTAACACTTGGTAATACCCGGTATTAATAATAGTAACTTAAAGCTGCAAACGTGTCAAAATCATGTGACATGCCTTCATAAAGCGTATATTTTTCTAAACTCAACGGTAATTAGATTTCAAGCACCAAGAATTTCATATAATTGTACAGCTTTAAAATAAAAAACATGTTAACATTGCCACACACACACATATATCTCCAGAAGTGGACGAAAAGTCATAAATTTTTGCCAGAGTTTACAGCAGGTGAACGCAAAGAAGAAGAAGAAATGAAATAATTTTGGTTATTTTTCAGATTTTAGGTTTGATTACTGTAATATTTTTGGTCTCAGGTTATGCACAAACCATCATAACAAAAGAAACAATGAGATCATTACAAACACTAATCAGTACTATATCCAGTGATGGTGTTCTGTTTATCAAGCAACGCTTGCAACTGTAATACCTGCACAACAAAACATTCAGTGCCAGTCTTTCTAATAAAAATACTTAATAAAACAATACGCTATTCAGAATTTTAAAAAGGGTAACATGAGCGCAAGCACACACACAAACAAATATTTAAATTCATGGGAGGACATATAAATGCATCAGAGACAAAACAGGCGTACATGTGGGCTGTGTGCACGAGGGCTGTATGCACGGTAGGCGTTGATTATACACTTGGAGCATCAGTCTCTATTTGGAGACTATTTGATAAGCATAAGAGGAAAGATATAGTATTTTCATAATGAGATTCTGCTTCAAACACTGTCAAGATTATTCTCAAAAACAATATCTCCACTGTTTTCACTATTACCCTGTTCACTACTCAGTGCCTAGCCTCTGCAGAAGAATAGGCTGTCGGCATCTGTGGCTTAGGTGTTGCCAACGAGGTTCATAATGCCGGGGTCTATCCCGGCTGCAGACCATTTGTCTTGCGCTGGTTTCGACAGTGGTACTGAGAGCTGACCATTCAGAGGGCAATGGCAAACTACTGAATGTAATATTTGCAGAGTAAAAACCTAGTAACAGCCAAAAAATGCTGGGGTTGATTCTGCCACATCCTGTGAAGGATATGTTACTAACTTTAGGCTACACATAGTTTTTTGCATGAATGAATGTGTATCTATCTCTAGGCTGTAAATTGTAGCTGCTACAACCGTATTTCAGAGAATATTGTAGCTGTGCCTTATTCTTACTAAGTTTGTGCTATCAGTTCTAGACATGGGTGGAGGAAGTAAAAGAGACACTACAGAAATGGAATATGAAATTAACAGAAGCTATGCAACTAGTAAAAGAAAGGAAACTACATCCAACTCCTCTCTGCAACACTTTATGATATAAGCAGTAGGGTAAAAGAAGAAGACTTAGCTTCAAACATATGTTACTGCCTCCAAAAATATATTAGGTAAGTATTATTGCAATAACATATTTGTTATTTATCTGACACTATCAGTGCTAGAAAAAAGTCTTCAATTTAAATATGGACGAGTATATTCATAAACACTTGCTATTTAATCACATACAATCAGTTTTTTGATATACTCTGAAAAATGGTGTGTATTTGGGAGAAACAAAGTTTGACAATTTCCAAAACTCATAAGTGAATTCAGTTTGAACAGGTGTGTTCACAAATTGTTACCTCATTCACAAACACTACATATGATTCACAAATAAACTGTATAAAAATGTATTCAAAACATTACACATAGGGGTACCTTTTATTATTAAATCAGTTGAGCTTTCCAAACACATAACATGGCGATTTATTTTATTAAATGCTCACCACTTAAAAGTTCATGACTACCTATTTCAAATAAATGTGGTTTAAAGCTTCTAATTTTGAATATTAGACTCAGTACAACAAAATACAAATATAAATGCCTACAAATTGAAATGCAGAGCTAACATAAAGGGTAATGTTGTTTAGGATGAGGACTTTCAGAGACTGCATACAGCTGATGCAGCTCTCTATGGCAACACTCTCAACATAGCATACATTCAGCAATATTAGATATTTAGATTATTCAGATATTTCCCTAACATAGATAATTAAAAAAACAAAACAATATTAATGTGTTTTGCTGGCCCATGCCATATCATCAGAACGAGGCTTGCTACCTGTTAAATGTTCAATGAGTCTTTCCACACAAGGCCAGAAACCTATCATTTCCAATGGGTAATTGAGCCAGCCTGTAGTGATGCAGTAATATGTTTCATGTGGAGCCACATGGTGAAACCGATGGTGTCTTTTTGGAAGAATAACATGCATGTCCTGCAGTAGAGTGATGTACCATGGTAAACCAAAATATGTATGAGACCATTTATGGCACTGAGGACAAAAAAAAAATAAAAGCAGTTGTTAGGTTAATCGCTTCATGTGATTCACAATGTGATCCAATTCACATTTTCTGACAAAGTGCACTAACTTCAGACAGCAGGCTTTACAATCATAGCAATGTTTCCCCATTGTGAATTTGAACAAAGAAGACACAAACAATAGATTACACAATTTATTGCCTGGTATATTTTGCAGTATCTTGTCAGGTGCATCCTACAGTAACTGTTGATAAAAATTATGCAGAGAGGGAGGAAGGAGGGAGAAATTTAAGTGACATAATTTTTTCAGCTACCACCCTCTTCCAATGAGAACGTGGTCGTGGTCCAGAAACAATAGCGCTAACCCGCTTTCGCCTGATGCATGGCCGCTTTCGCCTGCTGCTTAGCTGTTCATGTGTGACTGAAAAAGTTAATTTCTTACACTCAAGGCTGGGTCGACGTGGGGGCCAAGTAATTTAAAAAACAAAAATTCTGCTCCGCCAGGACCTGAACCCACGACTTTCTGATCCGCAGGCAAGCATCTAGCGGCTACACCACAGCACCTCTCATCACCATGCTAATGGTGCCACTAAGAGAATAAAATAGGACAAGACGGTGGATGGGGGGGGGGGGGGGTGATCAACAAACAGGTTATAACAGTAAAAAAAAGAATTAGGAAATTTTACTAAGGTCACTTGCCCACAATCCCCAACCTTTCCACATAGCCCCTAACCTTTTTCCAATGCAAACCATAAGCAGTGCCTGATTCCCAGAAATATCCATACCTGATGTGTTTGCCCACTCAGTTTGTCCCACAGGCAGCTCACATTCTACCAGCTATATTTAATATGAAAATAGGTCATGTACCAGTGGACTCCCAGTTTCATTTCTGATTCCCCCATTATAGAAAAGGGGTGGGGGGGGGGAGGAGGGAGGAAGAGAGAGAGAGAGAGAGAGAGAGAGAGAGAGAGAGAGAGAGAGAGAGAGAGAGAGAGAGAGAGAGAGAGAGGTGGGAGTAGGTGAATGAGAGGGTAAGGGAGAGACAGAAAATAGGTCATCTCAAAGAATTTCCGCCCATTTTTATAAAATCTCAGAGTTTTTTCAAGGCCTTGAGAGTGATCTTGCAGTTTTTCCACAGGTCCGCTATGCACCATGTGTTCAGACTAATTAGTTGTCATTTTTATACAACACGCGTGTTGGGGAAAAGTGGGTCTACCTCCCCTCCCCCTCCCACACTATTCAAACAGAGCACCGAAATCCAACCCAACAAATTCTGGGTTTGGTTTGCAATGTCCTGTAAAGGATATTTAACTAATTTAAAATTATTTTAAGCATTTTTATGAAAAATAATTTTTATTTAATTTTAACGGATAACTTTGCTCGTTGTTAAGTATCCATAATTCACTGCTATGAATTAAAAGTAGTTCTATGGAGTACTCAATTGGTTGTCTCATGACATCTAATCAGGAAAGTTTATTTTTGCATGACCCAATTTATAAAATTCATGTTTTTATTGAAGAACTGTACATAATTTATCTGATAAAATTATAAAGTATACTGTAAACACCACAAACATGTGAAATGCATTTGATTTAAAACATGTAATGACATACCTGGTTGGTAAGGCTAACAAAGACTGAAAGTAGAAATATGTACATTTTCCAGTTGTATGTTTCTGCAATATCTTGAGGTGTCATGCAAAAGAACTGATAAGCCGTGTACCCAGTAAATGGGATAACAACAGCAAAGTTGTCTCCATTTGTCTCAATGAAATCATGGCGAGTTATAGCTGTGGGGTCTATATGGTGTTCTCGAAATGGACGAATAAAGCCCTGAAACAGAATGCGACATTAATGAAAATATAATCTCTCAAATTAAGTCTGCCCTTTCTTCAACAACATACTTAAATTTCAACACCATAAACTCTGTATATATTTTATTTTAAAAACTTAAGTAGGAAAAGTGGCTTACATTTAAATGTCATGAAAAATTTATTTAAGACTGAACTCAAATATTTGGTTGTTTATTCCGCAAGACATTAACATTTATTTTTTCTCTATTTTTACATTTTCTTGTAAGTTGAACCTTTTAAGTTTCAGTTTTAGTTAAGGATGAGTGTCCATGCCTAGAGGTGTACTATGTATGCTGTGAAGCCCTTATTTCTACTGACCAAATTGTGCCTAATGGGTAAGAGGTAAAACTTTGCTTGATGAAAATTCAAACATTTGATTCCCAGGTGTGTTAGTCACATTAATCCAGCAGCTTCTAAACATAGCTGCCTTTACAGAAGATTGAACCTGGACCCACTGCCATGGCAGGCAAGCAAACTAACCACCATGCCTCTGTGGTTACAAACTTCAGCTTATATCGACAAATATTACATCTAATTCCTAATAATGCAAAAGAATTCTGACACTTTTTTTTTTGGTTACATGAAATAATAATGATCTCATTATCATTTAGTAAAAACATTGCAACTGTCATAAAATATCAAGAAAATAATAAACCATCAAGTCAACTGGTATAGAATATGATCAGGCTGATAAAAAAAATATGAGAAATAAATTTTAATATAAGCATTTTAGGATTGTAGACAAAAAATATGGAGTGTAACCTACAAAAAAGATTGTAAAAACTGAGATTACTGTGGTTAAGTCATAAACAGGGAAATGTCCCTCGAGGTCTTTGAGTGGCCGTAATACTCTCAAAGGAAACAATACGCTATTATAGTAGGAAGCAATAGGTTTTTAAAATATAAAAGCAACTGTAAGAACCTAAAAAATAAGAAAATAAACATATGCCTAATAAATCAATGAATATTAAGAAAACGGAAGTAATGGTTATATCAAAGAAGAAGATAACTCCACGTTGTGATATCTCAATTGAAGGAAAAAAACAACCAAGTTAATAAATTCAAACATCTGGCAACAATCATATCATCAGATGGAAAATGTGACAGAGATTAAAAGCAGAATAGGTCAAGCGTAAGCTGAATTTCAGAAAATGAAAAATAAATTATGCAATAAGTCGCTCTCATTTAACGTCTGAGAGAGGATGCTAAAATGTTTCATAGAACCTGTTCTATTTGGAAGCAACAGAGATGTGGTTTTTGAGACAAATGTTACGAATACCTTGGACAGCCAGAGTAGCTACCAACGATTGCTTGAAAGAAGCTAATGAAAGTAGATATATATATATGTATACAACAATAAGAAAGAGACAAACACTGTTCTTTGGCCACATAATGAGAAGAAAGACATTGGAGAACATCGTGACAACTTGAAAAAGTGGAAAAAGGGGTAGAGGCAGACCAAGAAAGATGATGCTGAATGGGCTGAAACGATGGCATGGAGGGATATCATCAAGAGAGCTGTTCCAGGCAACCAGGGATCGTGATCTGTGGAGACGCATGAGCGCCTACACCAGTTGGCAGGGCACATGATGATGATGACCTAATAAAGCCAACTTAAAAAGATAAAATGCAGAATTCTTGAATACAGAGAACCAAAGGATCCATATTTAAAAAAACCCCAATAAAAACAGGATATCTGTTGTCATATTTATTCTTAATACTGATTACAGGCTGGTTTATAAAGACACCACCAATGGAAACAATCAGGCAGGGTGAGGGGGTTTAAAAAAAAGGAAACAAATCAAACCAAATGTATCTGGTTAGCAGACAAGCCATCTGGCCAGTTCCAACCTAACACAAGACAGAGATGTATGATGCATATGAAGATTTGGACTGCACACTAGCTTTCTTCAAGGCTGATGACCTCTTAAGTTTCTCTGAGAAGAAATCAAAGAAAAAGAAAAAGAAAATGCAAATAAGAAGCAAATTTCCATTCAGGAGGTAGAGGGGTGTAACAATAGAAAAGAAAAATTTTTATTCTGAAATATACTTCAGTCAAAGACAATCTCAAAGTTGTTTACCTCAGCCAAACACAATCTCGAAGGCTTTAATTGATATTAATTAAATAAGACATCTTTCTTACTCAAAACACGTCAATTTGCTGCGCAGCTAAGAAAATGTTATGTTGTATTATTATGAATGTTTCCAACATTCATACAAAACAGAGAATGATGACAAGCTTATCTAGACATAGGGTGTCACAGCTTTTTGATGTGCCTTAGATGACAGACTGCCTTGCTTAGCAAATTTGCTGAAGTTTATATTGCATTGCCAATATCTGCTGTTGATGTAGAACGCTCATCTCAAAAAATGGATTTGTGCTGCCATTATTGTCAGCAATAAATGTGCATGATCCTCAACGCTTTTTTTTCATAAGAAGGGTAGTTGTCCAACGTCATATATTCTGATAGATTTGAATAGGTCTATTGTTGGCTGTTTGGTTACATTAAAAAATTATTCAAATTTACCAACAACATTGTGCTTTGCATCTTCACAGCTGTTTGCAAGGGATAATTCTGGCCATTTGAGACCAGGCAGTGAGTCAGATCCTTTGTTGTAGACACTGACAGCCATGAAAGACCGTACCTCACTTGAAACTTGAGTGTTCAAAATTGGTTCGCAGTGAATAGTTACAAATTTAAGTTCAGCTCTCAGCACATTATAGTTATCAGTAGCTAGATTTAATACTTGCTGACAGCTTTTTTAATTGGATTCTAGCCCCATGTGTTCGATTTCAGTAGCAACAAACATGGTACAAATATTCAGTGTGATAGAGTACAGCCTTGAACCAAAAGTTCCATCATGTGATGACTGAAGTTGACTGCATGTTCAACATGCAATATTTGCTGACAGTGAAGATTTCTAGAAAGATATTCATAATAAATGCCACAACGTCTTGAAGTGCACATTAACCTAAGCAAGAGTATGGTTAACTACACTATGCTGACACTGATTGCTTCTGTTCAACAAAAATCTGTGTTCACCGACACCACTGTGCATTCATCTGGTTTAAACGCATTGAGCAGTTGGTAGCCACATTCACAGCAATGTGTCCAACAACATCTGCTGTTTCATCGGAAATAACCACCCCTTTCTGTCCCAAACTTCGCTATCATATTAGCCTGTTGTTGGATGACAATTTTTGTTAACTTACAATTCCCTAAACTTATGAGCCTGCAGTATTCCACCAAAGCTCTTCAGGCTCTTCTGCATAAAACTGGGCATGGTAGGGTTGTCAACTTTCTCCATCGATATTGGCTGCCATAAATGCTTGAGCCAATTCTAAACTAACATATCTTTGGCAACAGTTGCAGCCACTGATCGTACAATAAAACCGGCAATGGACTTTATTTGCTGCTTGTGGATTCATTTGGGCCGTTGCTGACTTTTATCTGCATGCGCTGTGTGCTTTTGTGTTTGTTTATTGTTTTCATTTTTGGGTTGTTGTCCCAAGACATTAAGTTATAGCCTGGCTCTAACATGATCGACTGCTTCAATACAAAGCTTGCACTAGAGTAAACCACCTTCAGAATAGAATGCATCCTGTCCAAATTCTGTAACTCAACTTATGAGTCCAATGTTCACTGCAGTTTTAATCCTGCTGGTAATTTTTAAGGTTAGTTTAAAAGTCCTGCCAAAGATACAAGGAACAATCAAACAGGCCAGTCATTTTCAGCCTAATTTGTATTTTTCGTCACATCTATGGTCATTTGGAGGCCTGGCATTAAATTATGTGCGCTGTGGTAAATTGTGGGGCCTTATTCATAGAACATCTATTAATCTCTGATTAGCACTTTTTTTTTTAACATGAAGTTTGATGTTTCAGTCCCTTGGAATTTGCGTTAAAGATATTCCCACTGAGTCTCTGTAACAGATCATTCAAACCTGGGTATAGACAAAATATGACTGAGCTGGATAATAATGATTCTCACTTAAAATCACAAAGCCACCCAGCTGGCCTTTATTCATCTACTTAGAAAAAGAAGACAAGTTCTTAAAAATGATACTAGAGTTAGAGCCCATGACATAGAAGCACACAACTCCTCCACCTGAGAAATTAGAGCAATGTAAAAAAAAAATATTTAAAACACAATGGTGATACTGTTACGCGATCATCAGTGTGTGCTTCTTGTGGATGTTTTCACCCAACAAATATGAAACTGATGACCAAGTCAAGCAAGCTGCAATGTCCCGGCTTCAAGATTTTGACCCCCCCCCCCCCCCCCCCCCCCCCCCAATTTTTTTTCTCAGCACAAATAAAAGTTTTGGTGTGCAGATGGCAAAATGCCTACTTAAGCATGGAGAAGATACAGAAGAGCAATGTGCAATAATAATAATTAATGGTCATCTTAAGACATGTGCCGAAAGTGTGTAAAGAGGTTCAAAAAGCATGTCTCGTTACCTTAGAGGCTGAAAAATCATTATGTATATTTGTGTTCATATGCTGACAGGTATATACTGTATGTAGTAAAAATGACCAAAGAAAACCAACCCACAAACTAAACAAGCAATTCCAATTAAAAATAAAAAAGAACTACAGTCTGTATTGTACCACAGTATAACATTTCACTAAAATAAAAATTAAAAAATTAAAATATATAAAATTCAAAGTATGTTAAACAGAAGCAATTAAAAGTAAAATTGTATCTACAAAACAAAACGTAGTATTTATTACCAAGAACACAAATGTTTAATCAGAAAAGTTGCAAAATGTGAAGCAATTAATTTACCGAATGCAGGGCTTTAGCTACAGTTTTTAAATGCCCAGCTAACAACTCTGCAATAAAATCCTTGAATAAAATATAATCACATTTAAGTTTACATTTCCCAATGATGTGCCTGTAATCCAAACAATAACTAATAAATAATCATTAGGTTGTTATGGTCAAGAACAACTGTAAACATTAAAAACAGACTTAT